AAGAAAGAAAGAAAGAAAGAAAGAAAGAAAGAAAAAGTGAGTGAGGGAAGAAGTCAGTGTGTTTTGTAGGTTGAGGCAGGAAGGTATATTACTTTTCTTAACGCTGTGACCAAACATCTGTCAGAAGACAGCTTAAGGAAGGAAGATTGATTTTGGCTGTGGTTTATACAGTGGCTGTTTATATATTTGGCTGTGGAAATACAGTCCATCATGACAGAGAAGACATGGCAGAAAATGGATGCCCCAATCAGGAAGCAAAGAGATAAATGCCCTTTGCTTTTCTCTTTTTTCCCCCTTTTTATTCAGCCTGGGCCCTAACCCACATGCAAAGTGAGCTATCCTTAGTTAAGTCCCTCTGGAAACCCCCTCTCAAACACAGCCACACGCGTTTCCTAGGCGATTGTAGGTGCAGTCACGTTGACGGTGAAGATTAATCATGGCAGAAGGTCTCCCTGAGATGGTGCTGTCTGAGCAGAGAACCGGAAGTCTAGGGTGCTCCAAACCCATGAAACCGCAAATAAAGACGTGGGTGTGGAGGCCCAGCAGGGAACGATTTGCTGAGAGTAAGATGAGTGATAGTCACTTGAGAGGACACCAGAGAGTTGGGTAGAGTAGGGGCAGGTGGCAAGGTGAAGAGAAAACTCCCAGCAGGCTGTGAGCAAAGGCGCAGCTGGTTCAAGAAGAGGGAGCCCCTTCCACTCTACCTAGTGGAGCAGCCAAGGAACCAGGCCAGCATGTTAACACAGTCACCAATGGGTGGGCTGGAAATGGACGGCCGAAATCCAGTTTCCTGGACTTTGTGGTCTCCTGGGCCTCTGTAATGCCAGGTAGAAGGCAGGGGGAGAAACCCACAACAAGGATCTTGGGTTGCGATCACTTACTTAGCTTATCACTTATATTTCCCATCTTTCCAGCTTGCTCTTTTAATACTGGAAAGGATAACGTTTCTTAAGTGTCCTCGGGTAGTTAAGATTCCTACTATCATTTGTTTAGAAAGCCAAGAGCTGTTTACATGAAATAACTCGGGCACTCACAAGTTGGTTTAGGGGATCCAAAATGTTCCGAAAGGTGTCCAGATAATATTACTACTTGTCTGTGTGTCAAGGTGTGAGACTGGCGTGAGGACACCGAGGCCCAGAAAGTCAAGGGACATTCCCAGGGTCACATCGCAAGCCAGTGGATTGACACCCTTTGTACCCCTCCCCATCCTCCAGCTCTGCGCAACAGCTAGTTGTGGATAATAAAGGACCCTGTGCTGGCGTGCGATCGCCCTGGCTTCAGGGCTCCCAGAGCGAGACCAACTATCTCTTTAAGAAGGAAAGTGAAGACGGGCGGCTTACGCAGCTGCCGGCGAGCTGCCGACTGGCTCATCCCCTCCATCCACCTCTCCTCCCCCGCCCTCCACCTCTCCCTCCCGGCAGCCCCAGCCCCAGCAAGCACCCGGCTAGCCACCTCCAGCTGGGGCTCCGGAGAGCAATCTGGCTGCCCTCCTGGGGCAGCCCAAACCATGGAAGCCTTCGCAGGTGATGACAAGGACCCCGGGGACCTCCAGGCCCACCGCCCAGCCGCGCCCGCCGCACCCAGGAGTGCAAGTGCGGGGGTGCGGGGCGCCGGCCCAGCACAGGAGCTGCCCTAGCCCGTGGCGGGCAGCGAGTCCTCCGAGCTTGCAGGCTGCGGCCGCCCGTGCTCACCCGCCCCTGTCTCTCTCTTCCCCACCGCCGCAGGTTGCTGATCACCGCCAGGCGGCTGCTGCAGCGACTGCAGAGGCGCTGCGCCAAGCGGCGCGGGAGTCGTGCGAGCCGGCGGGACTGCGGAGGGCGAGTGGACCCAGGTGAGAGGCCGCGGCGGAGCGGGATGGTGGCCTGCGCGGCTCCGCGGCCGCCGGGGGCGGCTTGAGACCACTTGCTGCGGCGCGATCCCGTAGGGGCATCAGCCGAGGAGGGGATTAGTCGTGACTCATTCCTACCCTCCCTCCATTCCCCTACATCCTCCTAAGCACTCCTCTCCCTCGCGTGAAATTGACTAATTAGAGGATGCTGGTTTCAGTAGGGAAGACGCCCAAAGGTCTTCCTTGACATCTAGGAGGTGGGTCTTAGGGAACTAACCCTTCACCCTTCCTATTTGTTTTCTTCTTCTGGTATTCCACAAGCAAACATGTGAGCTTCTGTTTGGAACCGCACACCCACCCCAAGGTCAAGTGTCTATGACTGCTTCCTTCCCATCTTGCCCGCTGAGAAACAGCGGAGCTCCGCAGTAGATCTGGCAGAATTTCCCATGATCCCTAGAGTGGGAAATTTGCCTCAGTCTCCCTGGAGCCTCCTCGGTCTATGCTGTTCTCTTTCCACTCCCTAGCAGGGAGCCAGACGGCTTGCAACACCTGCCAGCCCGAAAAGTCCCACATTCCCTGCCTCAACTCTGCAGGGGTGGGAGGGCCGGTCACATGCTGCCGGTTTCCTTGCCCTTTTCTGCCCATCAGGGGATGGAGGCCGAGCTGGGCTGCAGGAGTTTCCCAGAAAATGCTGCTCTCTGCAAGTCCAGGGGTATAAGGAAGTGCCAGGGCCTGAGGTTCTGGGCTTTGGTTGGTCCCAAGTAGCCATCTTACTGTGTTTTGGGTGTGGGTGTCTGCTTGTCTGTTCAGTGCGGGAGCTAAGCGAGATGATTTGTACAATTTCAGTACACCGCTTGAGCATGGCTTCGATAACTCGTCTATTAGAACAATTTAAATTTAGGTCCTTGAAATAATTGGGGTCCCCTTGGTTAATCTCTTTCAACTCTGGACTTCTCAAGTGAAATGTTGACCTTGTGGGCCTTACAGCGTGAAGGCATCAGTCGATTCTGTGGTGACATCCCTGCACTGACAAGTTACTTATTATCTTCCCCAAGCCGTAAGTCCCTCATCTATAAACCTGGGGAGAAGGGTACCTGCCTCAGAGGGTTGTCCCAAGATGAGAGTCGTATGGAAGTTCTTGAGACAGTATTGGCTTGACTGACACACACAGCAGATTCTCAAGGATTCAGAATTTGGAGGTAAATTAGGAGACAGAGTAGTTCTCCTCTGCCCTACCAGACTCCTCCACACCCCTGTAGAAGGTGTCCCTGCGGGGGTGGCGGGAGGAGGTGGGGGGCAGTAACCAGGAGAGGCACACATCTCCAACACAAGAGCTGCCACAGTTCTAGCAAAGGATGGTTGCCTGTAGGCATGTATAACCCAACCATGGGCATGGAAGACCCTAGAATCCTTGGGCGGCATCCCTCAGGAAACAGAAGCACCTGAGTCTTGAGTGTGGGCAGAGAGCAGGAGCCAGGCTTGCAGATCTCACACCAATCCTTGCCTTCCCTGGAATCTCTTCCGAGACTGGAGCAAGGGTCAAGTTCCGGGTGCCCACATTTCCTATTCCCTAGTTCCTTCTCGCTGTCATTTCAGCCGACCATCCCTCCGGTCTGGTTTTAGTTTATTCCAGATACCTTGTGCCTTTTGACAGCGGCATAAAGGAGGTTCCCAACAGGGTGGGGCGGAGCCTTTGCTGCAGCACCAGTTAGGTCAAAAGAAAGTGGGATGCACCCCACCCACCTGCTTCTGCCCAAATCCCTGCTAGACCATGAGCTCCTCCTGGCAGAGGCCCAGGCTTTGCTTCTCTGCCTCCAGCCTCTGGCCCGTGACAAGGCATAAAGTAGGTGCTTAATAAGTGTTGAGTTAAATACATTTGAGAGGGTGATGCTTTCACACCAACTATTGGAAAAAAAAAAACTGTAGTGAGTTGCCTTTCAAAGGTCAGGTGCTGCACGCGTGTTGGTTGCCATTCTATTGAGATTCCTCATATTCATTATTGTCATCAGCTGTGGCTACCAGACATTTTATCTGCACTCCCAGGCTCCTCGTTAGGGACAAAGGGGGGCAGGTGTACCTAGGGACTTGAGGTTAGCAATCAGGGTCCAGTTGGCACTGGCTAGTGAGCCATGGCTCTGAAGGGAACTGAGTGAGGGAGGGAGGGCTGAACAGGAGAGCTAACCAAGCCAAGAAAGCAACCAGTTGAAGGTCAGAAGACCCGGGTCCCAGACGCCATTCAACTGCCATCTCAATGTCTGACCTTGGGCCTAATTCTTTAGTGTGTGTTCATCTCCATCTGTATATTGAGGAAACTGGACTAGAGAGGACCCCTCGAGCTCCTCCTGGTTCTGAAATTTTATTAAGACTTTTAAAAACAAAAATGGATGGTTATTTATTGTTCCCAATATCATTTATGGAATGCCAGAGCATGGCAGGTGGCCCTTATAACAATTGTGTCTATTAGGAAGGGAGGAGGCTGAGGCTTAGAGAGATTAGCGATGTACCTAGGGATTCCCAGGAGGAAGTGGTGGTCTGTCTGGCCCAGAAGCACCGCCCCTTTCACATATCCTGCTGCCTCCCACATATACCTGGTGTGTGTGTGTGTGTGTGTGTGTGTGTGTGTGTGTGTGTGTGTGTGTGCGCGCGCGCGCGCTCATGTGCATGTGCACGCGCTTGCACACAGGCGTGGCATTAGAGTCAGGAAAGCTGTGAAGGACCATGAGGGCAGGTCAGGCATCTCCCCAGAATGACTGCGGCAGAGGACATGCTGGGCTGAACTGAAGAGTGTGTGAGTCAGGCCTGCAGAGCTCTGCTTAGCTGATGGATGGAGGGTTCCCCTCTCTCAAGGAGAATGCCTAGGTCTGAATGACAGTCATGACAAATGTGCTTCTTGAGTGCTCCCTATGTGCTAGTTTAATGTGGTTTCAATTACGGACTCTTCAGACCATCCTAAAATATAGACTCCGTACATCATTTTACCAATTTCACAGTGAGGAAGCCCAGCAGACAGGCTGGGAGTGTTGTCCAGAGCTGGACAACTGATATACTACAGAACCTGGAGAGTATGGAGCTGGGAACACATTGGTTCGGGAGTCAAGGAGATGATTTAGTTTGGGTCACCTTGGGTAAGCCAATCTCCCTCTGAGAGTCAGCGTCCCCACTGCTCCAGCAGACTGAATGCACTGGCTGGTTCTAAAAGTCTAAAGGTGACCCTATTCCAGCACAGGGTGGAGGGATTCCCAGTCCTTTTGAACAGCGCTCACTCAGTGTTTGTTATCATTCATTAGCTAGGCTCTGGGCCAACTGCATGGGTATGGGAAAGAGCAGGAGCCAATCCTGAGTTTCAAGAAGCCCACTGCAGGTATGAAAAGATGTCTAGGAGGCAAACTGACACATATCATAACTGGATGGGGGGCAGAGAAAGAGCAGGGGATGGTCCTTCCCGCCCAGTGAGTCAAGAAGACCCAGAGGGCTGATGCCATTGCCATCTTCTTTTCCTGTGCTAAATTTGGGGATAATGATACTAAGATTCTTCCCAGCTCCAGTGTGAGAGGCCTGTGAGTTCTTCTCCCCAGCAACTTAGAAGGGAGCAGCAGAGTCTGAGGGACCACCAACGACACTCTGTGATCCTGCTCAGTTGACTTATCCAGTTGTCTCAGGTGGATCAGACCCTTTCCTGTCCTTAGAGGCTTCTAGAAGCAGGATCTGCTAAGTTTGTTTTTGTTTTTTGAGACAGGGTCTCAAGCTGACCTTGAACTCCTGATCCTCTGCCTCCCAAGTACTGGGGTTATAGGTGTGTGCCATCACGCTTGGCAAAAGTGTGACTTTTCTATGTTGTTACAAAGTCTGTCTGGTGCCGCGACTACCTGGGAATTTCAGACGCTTTTCCTCAACATCTCAACCATGAAGAAGAACCAGTCACCCTGAGAAGCGGAGTCATTGCTCAAGGTTTCTCAAAGGGGCAGGGGCAGAACCATCCAATAGGAACTGCATTTCTGAGTCATATGGGCTCTTTCTGTGTCTAGGCCACCCAGGCCCTAGGGGTGGGCAGCTGGTGCTCAGTGCCGATAACACTGAGCCAAGAGCCCTTGCAGAGGGAAGTCTGTGTTCCAGGCTGCTCCACATCTCTTAATGGATGGATATTTATGAAGTGTTTGTCACATGCCCAGCACTGTCCTCTGAATTGAGGTGCTGAGCCAACCCTCACGGAGTATCTGGGAGGCAATGGAGAGAGCCAGAGCAGGGCTACAGTGGAAAGAGGCAGTGTGAGAAGTCTGAAACTGGGGCCCTCCCTACACCCTGCTGTCCGCTCGCCTGGGGGCCTGAGGTCAGGCCTCTTCACACCTGCAGAGTAAGAGTTAGAGGTGGCAATGGATGAGGGTCCTTCAAGCCACGATGGGCTAAGGACTTCACAGCTGTTTTCCTCTGTGTCCACTTTTGGGGGGCGGTATATGTGGATAGGAAGCAGATGCCTGTAACCTGAGGAAGATTCAGATAATGTAACAAGAGGCGGGAACAAACGCTCTGTGGATTTGCTAGAGGGATAATGTTTGGGAATGGCTCCATTCAAAGCCACCTCTTGAAAGATAGAATGCTACAGATATCAATAGATGGATTCCTGTGTATTCAGGTTTGAATCAGGAGGAGCATCAGGAGCCTGCTGCCATATGGGGTCAGGCTGGCTATGTAGCAAGGACTTGAGTTTACAGAGATCTGTATTTTGGGGAGTCTAGCATAGCTTGGCCAGCTTTATATTTTGGCAGATAAGGACATTGCAGGTGATATTCGGCATTCTGTTTATTATGATAATCCTAAGAGAAGAACCACTGACTACCTCCAGGCCCCATACCAGTATGAAAGAAAGATACCATGCAAACAATATATTTGCTTTCTGAAAAACTCACTGTAGGCTGGGGGCATAGCTCAGAGATGGAGCATTTGCCCACCATGCACAAATCCTCAGCACCACAGAGGATGATGATGATGATGATGATATTGATGAT